ATGTGGAGATGATGGCAATGACATTGCTTTTTGAGAATTTATTTGGTCCCTGGAAAGAGTATATAATGCAGACCTTTCCACTCGAGATTTCATCATGACCACCAAGATGGAAATTTGACACCTATAATAGAATAAGAATTAATAAAGGTCATAAATCTAGGAAGAAGATGGATTAAATTTGGTTGGTACTTTAATTTCTAAACCAGAAGTATTTTGTGGAATTTAGATTGTAACTATTACTACATCTCATTTCTCCTAGAAAGGTAGTAGAATATCTGAACACCTAATATCTCACTGCTACGATTATGATTAGTAGGAGATAAACCGATAGGGAAAAAAGGAAGGAACCTGGATGAAGAAATAGAAAGAAGCTCTAGCAACACATGCACAAAGTTCATCAATACGAAAATGACATATTTATGAGCTGCGGCATCCTATTACTTTCCTGAACTCATTTTTGAAGTAGTAATAACAATAGTAATGGAGAAATAGAAAAATAGAAAAAGAACGAAACAAGAAACAATAGACTGTATCAACTAATCACCATGGTCAGATGGATCCCAAACTCACAATTGGAATCTCAGGCTATTGTTATATTTGAACTCCACATTTAAGCACAAATGTAAGACTGATGAATAGCAGTTACTTAACAACAGGATAACAAAAAATTCCAAAAAATTCAACCACCTGAGCAAACATAGAATAAGGCACATCTTTTCCAAGAAAAACAGAAAAGGCAATGATCTAGTTGACTATCATTGTGATAATATTCATGTACGTTCCAAAATAAAGAATGTGTTCAAGCATATGATAAGAATGGTTTACATTCTTTTGAAGATCACTGCTAGTATTTCCATCATTTGGAGAATGTACATATGAACTATCATCCCCTCGCTCTCGCAACAGACGATTTTGCTTCAATGTTTCATTCATTGCTCGCACAGCCCTGAAATGATTTATTAACATTCCGAGTAAATGCATAATTAAAAAAAGTATTCCCAAATCAATAAAATCCTCCAAATGGTCTTTCCTTCAATAAAAAAATATACAGATTACAAAAGACTAAACAAGGCTGTAAAATAATGGTGTCACAATTTTTTAACATACTTGCTAATATATTAGTTGTGAATATGTAGATAGACAATGGAAAATGCAATAGAAGTGGTCTCTTGCAATTTTCATTTGAGTTCTAGTCCATCTAGTCACCTATATTTTCATTTGAAAGAGGTGATATATACAGAACCAGAGTCGCTGTGCTTTGAAAATTCCTTGCTATTACCTTTACAGATTTTACAGGTGTGGCATGAAAAAAAAATGGAAAAACAAAGAAACTAAGAAATTCATATCGCAGTGGTAGATTTGAAATTCGAATTGCATATAACAGATCTGTTTTTGTGAATCAAAACCCACAAATTGAATCGAATCATAGATTCAGAATATAATTCACTAATTAAAATTTACTGTTATTTATATGTAACTGTTAAAGAAAGACAATTGAAAATTAAAATATTTTAATAAATTTATATTAATACTACACATTGTGATTGAGATTGTAAGATTCGGTTAACATTTATGACAGATTGTGATTTATTCATAAGGTTTCATTTTGTTACTAAATTGAATTGAACCCTAAGAATTGTGCATCTCTAAGATTCTAACAATAATGGATGAATCTTATCCAGAGAAGAATTTTTAAATGTTGAAAATTTTCCAGATAATAATAATTCAAACAGGAGATCTTAAATATAAACTATATAAAACCAAAACATTCAGACTACTTCACCTGGCAGAAAAGAAAAACGTTATAAAGAAAAAACAAGACAAGACAGTAAAAAGTAGTGTTGCAGGCGTATCGTCAGATAGACACATAAAAGTACATAAATTCATAATGGAACAAATATCAACCTTACGATGTCATCACCTATCTCTGGAGTAATGCTAATGCTTCTTCTTCTTATTCTTCGAGCTTCTGATGTTGAAGCACCATCTGACCTATAGCTTTGTCAAGAAAATTATGAGAAATCAGAATCGACAGTGAAAATGTAGCTTTCTTTAAGTAAAACACGTGCAACAACAATACAAAACCCAAACAACTTAAAATACATGAAGTGATTCATAATCACCATCTCTAGGCAAAACAAACATATAGACTTGCATATCAATGTAATCTAAACAGGTGTAACCAAGAAAAAAAAGAAAACAATATCTTCCAGAAATACAAAATTAAACCTAAATTACCTAACTAAACCAGCAATACAAGCTTCAAGGCCAGAATGATAATCCCTATCCACAACCAAGTAAATATGAAGCATGAATACCAAATACATTTGCATAGATATAAAAGGAAGTTGAGACCCAGCTACATCCATAAAGAATGTGCATGTGACTTCCAATTGTATTTGCTGGAGAAGAAATTCCACAATCAACAAGAAGTTAGTGATGCACACTGCAGATGGCATCTTTAACCAAATCTGAAGCAGATACTTAAGCTAAGCAGTGTTTTCATTGTAGGATTTCAAGCTAGGCTCATTAGACAGTAACGGGCAATAAGCAAATATGACATGGGAAAGTTAGGACAAGCCAGTAGGGAGATTGTCATAAAACATTATGCAACTTTCCCTCTCTTCCCAAGGATTACAAAAATCCAGCCACCTTCGCCAAAGAAGAAATTCCACAGTTAATAGGACGTTAGTCCAAGAGGTGCTAGCTTACACACTTTTTATAGTAAAATCCTCAAGCTACGCAGTGCTATGATTGTAGGCTTCCCAAAGAGGCTCACCAGACATTTTTTTTTTTAAATAAAAAGACTCACCAGACACTAATGCAGAATAAGCATATATTATGTGAAAATCAGAACAAGATGGTATTAGATTATCATGAAACAGCAAATCCATCAAGTTATATAGCACACCCATATCAATACATAATTTATGGGGAAAAAACGTTTGCAACACTCTCTTCATTTATACATGCATGTATTCATACATTAAGGACTTATATGTTGTTTAATTTAGTAATGTTTCTTAATACACTTCCAACTATTTGGTTAAAAAAAAAAAGAAAAAGGGGACATGATGTAACAATAACTCAGCCATCTTGCCTTCGAGCCAAAAGATAAGCCATCAACTTAAGCATTCAAAATCTTGACATAAAAAGCTTTGAACTTATAAGCATTGTCCCACCATCTTTAAAATAAGAAAAAAATTGCTTATTTTTCTCTTCAAAAGATAGAAAAAGCTTTAATTGATAGGATTTTGGGGGAAAACTCAACATTACCTGCTACTAAAGACAGCTACTAAATTCTTTTTCTTTTTCAAAAAAAAAAAAATTGTCTACCAAAACAGAGGGAATTCTATGTACATCAGCGCACATTCTTAGGTCTACCAATTGTAAAACAACTGGATGCAAGAAAATTTAACCTCAATTAGAAATTTTCCACATCATATAGATACATATTTTTCCAAATCATGGGCTAATACAGGGTAATTTGTGATGCTTGATTTGAAACTTTTTAAGAAAAAATGAAAAGCATTCCCTGAAGCTTCTAAATGCACATTACTAAGGCCGCTAAAACGCAGAAATTGCATCTGACCTAGATTGTTCTTGAAGAAACTTTTTCTCTGGAGACTAGCATCACATCTGGATGAAGAAAGCAGGAAAACAACTAAAAAAAGGTCCCACCAAGATTTATTATTTGAAGATTTAGGCAAATCTAAACTTCTCTTTTTCTGGAACTCTTACTCTTTATTGATCTATAGACTGTAAACACAAACTTTAAGATCAAACAGGTAATTCAGAGAATAACCTACTCCACTCACTACAATCATCTGTCCCACCAGGGCATACAAGGAACAGGAATAATACACTCAACCATCACATCCTACAGACCAACGAGATAATAGAGGAGCCATTTTATGATAGACTGACTAATAATACAACAAAATCATATGAATTTTTTTCATATGCAATGAACAATAAGAAGGGGAAGAACCTTGAGGTAGCTACGTCATCAACGTAATCCCTTAGCAAATTCCTATCACCACTTAGCATGGACCGTCCACGTGCTCGAAATGATGGATGCTCTGGACTGCAAAACCAATAAAAATTGAAATAATGACTCTGAAAGACTTGGTAAAGTTAGAAGGGAAGGCTGCTACTGATCTGTAAAGAGAATACAGGAGAGGCAAAATAGTAGAAAAAATATTAAGTTATACTTGCACCCTAAAAACAAAATCTTGAGTCCAGAGTGAAAGGATAATTAAAGTTTAAAGAGGTATGGTTTTCCTTTTCTCACATGCAAATCCACAACCAAGAAGGAATAAGAAAAACCTCGAACTAGCAGTCCGCTGTTCGGCAATGGCCCTTCTCCGGCTACGTCGCCAAAATGTAGTTGCAATGTTGGGTTCACTATGTGATAAACTGAGGGAGTAAAAAAGAAATTCATCGAAAAAAACTTCCATTACACTTCAAAAATTTTCAATCAAAATCAATTTTTTCCTTAAAATGGAAAAGAGAATGAAAATCCGACAAAACATGAAGTTCATCATAAAAGTCATATGGAACTTGTTGAAGTAATTATTATGTATTACCTTAATTTCCTATCAATAGAGGTGGTAGATCTCAACATCACATTCCGCAAGGAAGGACCTGATAAATTTGAAGATCCTTCTAATTTTCGATGAAACTGAAGGCTCTCATCTTTTTCAGCACTGTAACAATAAACAAAAATGACAACCCAGCTAGCTTTAAAAAGCAAGTATCGACAAAAGAAAAAAGAATAAAAAAAACAAAGTAGCATAGGGAACTAGCATCGGGAACAGATATTGAGGGACAGCAGTAAGGACAGCTGCCCCCACTAAAATCCAAAATAAAAAGGAAGAATATATGCCAGTTCTACATATATACCAGAGCTTTTAGTTAGATTAGATTTTTAATTTTTTTCCCTTACTTATTTGAAAAAGAACATAAGAATACTAGACATTGTGATATATAAAAGCATGAAGATACAGATATTACATAACCTTCCATCAGTTCCCAATCTAGATTTCTAAAAGTAATCAACAAAAAATAGACCAACAGATATCAATCATATAAACAAACTGAAGGGAAAAAACACAGCAACGAGAATTAAAAGTACGAGAACTGAAGAAATGTATCAGATTAATTTCATTAAGATTAAATTAATAGAAATTAGAAAAGACCATAAGCAGACATGCTCATTTAACTTTCCTTTGTCAAGACTTAAAAATGGAAATTGTGTTCGACTCGTTGACCCCAAAAAATCCACAATTACTCACACTCTCTCTCTTTTTCCCTTTCCTTTGATATTGCATTAAGCAAAAAGATGCAGTATTTAGATTGCTTAATATAGAATAATTTATTTGTTAAATTAATGAAACAATTTTGGAAGGAAATTGCATAAGACAAAGTTGTAAAAACAGTTAGAGATTCAGAAGAGTATTCGACAAATATTGTAAAGTTGTAAATTTGAGAAGATTATTATACTTTTTTATTATAAGCTTGGAAAATTGAATGAGAAACTGGACATGAAAAGAGATAAGAACAACATATTCTATTCCTAAGATAAAATATTGCGTCTTTTCAGAAACACACAAAAGATTTCTTTTAATTTCAATTATTTTAATTTCTTCATTGTCATAATATGAGAAGTACATATTGACAAAACTTCTATATATTTTCATATAATGATTCAAAAGTCAATTGCTTTTGA